AGGTACCTACCCCTTCGGCAGTTGTGTTTGCTTTACCCTGATGCTGGCTAGTGTGAGGCAGACATGGACCACGCTCCTTCCATCCTCCACACTGAAAAGGCGTAACTGAGCCTCTCATGGGCCACATAGCTGCAGCTTGTCATCTTACTGTCCATCTCGTCGCTCTGTAGGACCTGGTAGAGGAAGTCTATGTACCTGGCTGCGAGCTTGAGGGTCTGGATTTTACTGAGTTTGTCAGAAGGCAACGTGGGGATGATTTTCCTCAGGGCTGCAAAGGCTTCATTGAGAGACTGAGTCCTTTGCCTCTCTCTGACATTGGCCAGGATCCTCTGGCTTTGCAGTTCTTCATAAGATTGGGAGCTGGGGCTAGACTTTTTCCCCCTCTTGCCTGGGTTGGGGCTGCCATCTTCACTGGATTTCTTACTGTATCTTCTCTTCCTGCCAAATCTCTTTGGCTGCCTTTCCAGCTCCTCTTCACTGGTCCCCAAACTATCCACGGGGGAAACAGGAGAGCTGGAACTTTCTTCCATTCTTTCTGTGAAGAAAGGGAGGGGAAGCGACTTGGGTTTGGTTTGGGGTTTTTTTTTGCCCCCCTCCTTGTGTTGTGTGTGTGTGTCTTAAATACGCTTAAAATTCCTGAGACAGATCCTTTGGAAAACAAAACAAAATGAAACAAAAAACAAAACAAAAAAAATTAAAAAAAAAAAAACAAAACAGAAGGGTTTATTTTTTTGCTGAGCAAACGTTTTCCAGGTTGCTTGCAGGGCTCTGATTTCAAGGACGGGGTTGTGCAAAAATTGAGGTCTTGGAGAGAGGAAGTTATTCTAACTTTTTTGGAAACTTTAGCTGGGCTCAGTTGCTAAATAGTTGTCAGAAGTGAGGGAGGCGCGGGGCTGCTTCCTCATTGGCCGGGCCAGGGCAGTGGGAGGAAAGAAACCTCCTTTTTTCTTCTTCTTCTTCTTCTTTTCCTTCCTCCCCGCCTCCCCCCTCACTTAAACTTTCACAGTTTTATGTTACACTTCGCTTAAAAGCTCGGGGAGGCACCTCGGAGCGCGGGCAGGGCGCAGCCCTCGACGGTGCTCCC